AGACCACCGATCAATAATCTTCCAATAGTCAACCCAATATCGAGACTCAATTTAATAGCCAACTTTGCTCAATCTACTGCAACATTTATAAAACTCATTGTAAGTTTCTCAGCTCCATCTACTAACCAATAGCTCTTAAACATTAAGAACTTCATTATTTCTCTTTTAAAAGTCTTTGCCCATAATCAAATTTTCCACATCACTAGGAGGACCGGTTTTCATCTTCCCAAAACCAGTCTCCTTATAGTCATCAGAAGTGAACAGAGCCTTTAGGTTATCTTTCTGGCTAATAATGCTCTCAAGTGCAATGAAATTTATGACAAATCTGGTAATTGAAGGGCGTAACAATTATTTACCATTTGTAAATTTTTTCATCAAATGATACAACCTTGGATAATTATAAATGAAGCTTGTGATAGACTTTGCATCATCTAGAACCTTTACAACAATTTTTTTTTTTTGTTGAAATGTCCTCCAATATAAGATCAATTAAATGTGTTGCACACATTGTCCAATACAAACATAGTCTTTTCTCCATCAACTTTTTTTCAGCAGCCTTAAGAGTTGCTTCATTGTCAGTCACTATTTAGACAATATATTCTTATTCAATCTCTTCAAAAATCATATCTAACAAACGAAAATAGTAATCTGAAGTCCCACTTGCCACATTAGATAAATCAACAGACTTATGAAAAATTGTACCTTTATTACAATATATCAAGAAGTTAATGATGTAATGTCGTGTTTAACCAGTCTATCTATCACACATGATAGTAACTCCCCTCTCTTTCCATGGTAGACTGGAAAAACTTAATCTACTTTTTCATTATATTGACTTTTTTATTCAAATATATCTTAGACACCTCATAAGAATTAAGACCTTTAACTCCTTTTCCTACTTCAGAAGCAATGTCAAGTATTGGTTGAGTCTAGGGATAGTCTACTACATGAAAAGGCAAATGGTTATATAACATGAATTTGGAAAACATATCTCCTAACATTTTCCTTCTAATTTTTTGGTGATTTGGATTTATCTTTGGTTACTTAGAATTTTTATTTTTCAGAAGATCAAGACCCATCTCCCTTAATCTAGCTTCAAGAGTATCATAATTAATCCAATGCGCACTACCATCAACATCCTACTCACGAACTGAATGGGATCATCTTAACCTACCTCCATCTCTACCTCTAAAACTACCCCCACCTCCAAAACTACCTCTCGCATTATACTGTGGCACATGTACATTTCTACGTCTGTGACTTTCTTCAAATTGATATTGTGCCACACTTTCTTTTCTCGTAAATGCCATCTCAGGATCAGAATCTGAATCATCACCCAAATCCACATACCTAGGATCCCCAAGGTCTCCTTCAGATGAAATTCCAGTTCTTCACTCCTCTTTTATTTATTTTCTATTATTTTTACTTTCTTGAATATGTTTCATCATCTGTTCCCTGACTTCTTATGGCACTTCTGGGCATGATGTTACATTGCCTCTTTTTTCTGCCAAATATTCTTTTACTTGTGTAATACCACCTTTAATGATTTTTTTACAGAACATACATACTTCATTATGTCTATTGGTAGCCATTGTCGCAAAGTTCCAATTGATATCATCACTAAGATTGGTTTGTGAATCTTTTTTTGGGCCTTGTCGAGGCATTTTCAATTCTATATATAAAAAAAAAAAAAGTATACGTTATGTAAGAATAATAAATCAAACAGAATCTTTATTTAAAATAATTAATGAATTATGGACCCACAAAACATTCATTAAAATGATTAGTGCCTACACTAAAATTAGTTGATTGTGATTAGAGGTGTTAATTTTGACCTGTTGATACGAACCCGACACAAACAATTATAAAATTTACACGATTATTAAATACGCATAATAAATAGTCTAGACTAATGTCTAATACTCAGAACATAATAAATAAATTTTTTTTTTCGTGGGTGTTGACAGGAACACGACACGATTGACACCCTTAATTGTGATACCCATGTAAACTCCATTAAAATAATTAATAAACTCTATTAAAATTATTTAATTAAACACATATTTTATTTGACCAAAAACATAGCTCAAACACTCCATTAAAATATCTAAAGAGACAACACTACATCCTTAAAAAGTTAAAAAAAAAAAAAAAAAAAAAAAAACAAAAAAGTGGTGGCTGGAGTGGAGAGACAAGTAGACAACACTACTGTCATTACATCCTTTAAAAAAAATAGGCAGTGGCTAGAGTTTACCCATTGGAGAAGAGAGTAACTCGAATGGAGCGATGCAGAGGAGATCGACTCATCTTCGATCATACGAAGCAAGCAACGAGCACACCGAGCGGAGGAGAGCATAGATCTGATCACCGATTAGGCAGTCATAGTTCAAGTTCAAGTCTTTCTAGAAGAAGAGAGCACAGTTACAAAAATCACCTCAAGAAGTTAGATCTAGATGTATGGGTGCGTTTTTAAGCTTTTATTTGAAAGATTTTCTAGATCTACCATGTATTTGAGTGAAGGAAGGAAGATGAGAGAAGTTGGTTGAATTTGGTTTTTTGATGAAATCGATTTTTGGGGCTGAAATTTGGGTTTTATACTCGAATCAATTTTCGCATTATAATGGGTCAAAGTAGCCGAGTTTGCCCATATCGTCCGTTACGGGCGCGTTACAGAGCCGTAATGGCTGTGAAATTTATTCTTTCCCTTACATCAGACCGTAAAGGAATCGGAGCATGCCATTACTGTTAAGTAACAACCGATTTTCAAAACCTGGCTGTTAGAGAGGAGTGTAACATATGTATTTATCTAATATATGATAGTTTCTATTTGAGGCATTCTTGTTTCCATTTTATTTGTTCTCCATTAGGGTGGAGGTGGAAATCGAATGGCTGGGCTACACAACAGCGTTAGCCTTATGCCTATAATATGTCCTCTTTCTGACATTGCTTTCTCTTTCTGACATTGCTTTGGATTGTAATGATATGTCTCTTATTTTTTAGGTGTTAACTGTTGGCATGAGGTTCTGAACCGACTTAAGATTGAATGAAAGCAGTATGAAAAAGTATTATGGTGAATGTGGATTTGCATTATAAACCTTTAGAAGACAGTTTGATCCATGATTCTGAAGGGACGGAGGAAAAAGTAGGACTTTTTTTACCCTGAAAAATTCATTGATCTCTGTTGATTGCTATCAGTGTAAAGTTAGTGATTGGTGATCACTATTCAGTAAAGAACATTGGAAGAACACAAGTTAGTGGAGGGAATCCTGAAGCACGACCACAAAAGGTGAAAGAGGATTGAGGCTGTTTGTATTGATTATGAGTACCCAGACCCAAGAAGAACATACTCCTTTCTTTTGTTTTTTTCCTGGATGTGGGACTGCCATCGCACAAGCTTAGACTAAAGGCTTCCTTTTGTTTGATAACCAGCATCATTGTGGAGTGCCAAGGGGATGCAGCTGTGTATGCATAATGTATACACAAACAACTTTACCATGGTGAGAACAACAGCTCCTCTTTTATGTAATGCATGTCCACACTTACACCGTAGAAGAACATTATTCATGATGGAAATAGTTTCAATCATGTTCAGATGGTTCAATCATGTTCAAGATGGTTCATTTTCCTCCTGTGGTCACTGGGGAGATGATCGCGGGCTAGCTGTAACGGATGAGCAGAAACCTTAGGTTCAATTGAATCAATGAGGACTACAAGTCGATCAAGTTAGAAGGTGAAAATCTGATCATCCCATTTATGGGAAGCTCTTCGGGATCAAGTATTGATTGGCATGGATGCAATAGAGAGACTACCATATTTGCAGCAATTCATGTTTATGCTTTATGGTGTGATTAACAGAAGCAGGGAAGCAAGTCATGGTTGCAACAAAGAGATTGGTTGGTCAACAGCCTCCATTTTCATTCTTGATGAAAATGGAGGATATATTTATTTGGCTACATGTTTTATTTTTCAGTATCCTTTTCTCTCTCCTTAGTGTGTATATTGGAGGATATATTTATATGGCTACATGTATGATAAGCGAGAATCGAGTGGCATAGATGCTGTTTGCTTTCCTTAATTTTTCACCTGAAAACATGTCTTGTTAGACTGAAGTTTTATTTTTTGTTTCTTCCCAAAACTGAAATATGGGATTAATTTGGCTAAAACGTAATGAAAAAAAATCAAGTATTTCTTGTTGAAAGCAAAATGTTGAAGATGTAATGGATTGCCTCTTTTATGCATGCTCTCTCTCTCTCTCTCTCTCTCTCTCTCTAACTGCTATTTTGGTCCCAGCTATGCTATTGTCCTGTGGCCTCCACAACATCACCAGTCCGGAATTTTGAATGTGCTCAGGAAATTTCGTTCATTCCATATACATTGTTGATTAAAAAACCTTTTAAGAGAAGGTTATACTTTGAGTCGATTTCTAAAGCTGAATCTTGCTACACCGCACAGTGATTTCAGTGGTCAAACAAGAAAGCATTATAAGTTCGTATCCACTTGACTGCATGCAATCCTGATTGGCAAATTGTTCTACAAATAATTGTGTATATCCAAAATTTGCATTACAATTATTAATCAATAAAACACATGGTTTAGTCTTAAAAACATTTTGCAAATGACAGCAGAAAACCTACTATTCATTCATTTTTCTTGGTAGCATTAATGAGACATCATTGCCATTGTGTTTCAGTTTCGCCATGGATTAACGGCGACTCCATGGATGATTTCAACTGGCTTGTTTAGTATTATGGTGTAATGAGAATTCTTGTCTTCCTGTTGGTATGCTTTGACATGGCAAGCAATCTGCTAAAAATCAAAAGAATGAAATAAAGACAAAAAGAAAAGAATGGCAGTTATTAAAACAAAAAAAAAAAAAACCGAGTTTTTCAACACACTAACATCAAACATCGTGTCATGGAACAAACACGTAGAAGGGCTGGTGAGCATAGCAATATCTACTCTAAATGTTTGAGAATGAAAAGTAATGAAATTTTGTAAAGTAAAACCAAAATATTAGGTCATTTATATAAGTTTCCACATATGGCAGACAGTCCTGAAGAATATCCCAAAGGCAAATTACCAAAAGGTTCATCTGAAAGATTACACTGGCCTGCAAAATGCAACACTGCTGCTATTGCATCTCTTTGTCATGAAAAAGTTCAACCAACCACATGAAGTGGAGAAAAAAATAAAGCTCATAATTGTTTTCTGCAGCAACCTACGACGGCACACTGGCAACAAAAACATAGACGCATACTGACATAAAGGATACTTCTCCATTCCCACAACAAAAGACCTACTCTTCCTCAAACCTAATCTTCTTTGGAGCGGACTGGTTGCTACCCACCTGCAATAAAAGCGAAATTGATAAACAGGAGATAAATGAACAAATTCCTCGCAAACAAAAATGCAACCCTTTTCTCCTTGTTCCTTTTCTCTCTTTTTCCCGAATTGAGAGTTAATGGCAGGCTGGATTTGCTATTAATGAAAAGCCAAGGCTTAAACAAAGATACCATACACCATCCATGTTGGGTAAATAAACTATGTTAAACCATAGAAAAACCTAGTTCCACCTGATCGGTATCACTGACCAGTCAATGACTAGTGTTGACGTGATTCAGCCAGAGCCAAGTTGAAACAACTCATGAAACCAACTCTTGCCCAACCCAATTTGATGACTAAGTGAGATTGTCACTTATGAAAAGTCAATGAATTGTGTTTATAATTATCTCAAGTTACCCTTTTAAAGGGATAGTTTTGTCATGTTTCCACATAATCTAATGTGTTAATATTGTAAGTTCGGAGGTATAATTTTTGGAACCTTACACTTCTACTCTTACATCAAATGACTTGCATGTCTCCATAAGATGGAAACTTAGAAATGGACTATATATATGGGATGAAGGGAGTCTACAAACAAAATCGTCATACCAGTTATTACACTTTCCCTAGATAATATGGATGCTTCTTGTTGTCTTTTGTTATGAATGATCTAGATGCATAATACAAGTCAAATACTAAAATTTTTTCCCCTTTACCATTTTCCCTTTTGTATTAAGAGTGATATTACAAATTAATTACAGGAGTGAATACATGTATCCATGCATAATCAGGAGTCACTCCAACTCAGAACAATGCATCCACTTGCCCATGGATGCACTTTTTCTTTTGAGATGCTGGCTAAATGCCTTCAACTTCAAAACTAACAGAACAGGAAAAAGAATTCTTAATGTCTAAACTTATGCAACTGCAGTCCCATGTCAGGACCTATCTGGCAGGTGGTTTATATTTGATAACAATTATTTCAAACACTGAGAGAAGAATGACGAAAGGAACAGATTCTCACGATTTCTGGGCACTCATAATCAATGCCAGCAGCCTCAATCCTCTTCCGCCTTTTCTGGTCCCGTTTCATGATTCCTTCCACCAACTTCTTGTGCTCTTCTAATGTTCTTTCCTGAACAATTAGACAAGTGGCATTATACTTAAACCAATGCTGTTAAGCAAAAATGATCAAAATCTAAAGAGGAATTTCCCCCCTTTTCAGTTCAATTTGTTTCACTAGCATTAAAAGGATTTATATGCCAGAGGTATATTGTACAACACCATGCACTGTACCTTGTCATGCCGCTTCCTTTCCATTTTAACCCAGTCCAAAGGCTTGTACCAACGGTTGGCACCTTTCCACCTAAAAAATAGCAACTAAAATTATTAACAACCCAACAGAACATAGCCACAACATAAGAAGTCAAATCACAAGACTGCAAAGACTTCAATTAAATCACACTCCTTTGGATAATCAGAATGTCATGAAACTTCAAAAATTCAGAGTTTCACACATATGCAGATCACATAGACACCATTAAAAGCCCAAGACTTCCAACTGCCTCAGAGCTATGCGCTTGTAAATTTCTTCTAGCCCCCCCCCCCTTCCCCCGGGCACGGGTGCAAGGTCAACGAGGGTGAAAACCTGCACAATGAGCTATTGATGTTCTTCGAGCAGCGCCCTCTTCCCGTTAAGAAGTGACATCCAAGCCCATGGTCACAATGCTGCCTCCACACAAGCCCTCGGCCGACCTCGTCTTTTTCGGACAACATGGGATAACGTATTAGAAATTGAGATTTTGATTCCAACTTCTTGGGAGTCACTTGCTGAACTCTTTTTAAGTCATACAATATTGTGCAAAATTGAGAATCATGATCCTCGCTAAGGCTTTCACAGCATCTGCCTGCCCTAATGTTCTGCTCAGCTTTATCGAACAAAGGCTTGGGATGGGAACCTTATCTAGTGTTAGATTTGTTAGGATTAGTTGATAGTGGTTTCTCAAGGTATCACGCCCTTGAAACTTATTGAAAAATCCTATTTACTATGGAAAAAATGCTTGCATGCGCAGGTAAGATCACAGGTTCAAGATATGGAAACAGACTTGCATGCGAAGATAAGACTACATACATCTGAGTCACACCCCAAAGTGAAAGAGGTCTCCTGTACTGGACTACCCTTTCTGCTCTAGCATATTTTCTAATGGGTATCTATCTTGATTGATCATAGTATGCAAATAAATCACAAGGCATATCAGCTATATTAAAACATGTTTTTTTCCTAGGATTATATAAAGGAACCTCAATCTGCTTTAAAATCACCACTACAATCCCACATATCTATATAGTTACAAATTCTAATGACATCACTTTAGGTAAGATGTTGGCGGTTTAGATTACATATATCACTAGAAAGATGATTTCTGGCCCGAAATGAAGACCTCTGTGTGTGTGTGTGTGTAGAATTCAACCACCATCAACTCTTTGCCAATAATCATCACACAGTCAGTTTACAACTTAAAAGGTCTTGCACCTCAGAACACTCCACCTCCCATTCCTTCACTTGACTAAATTTCATAGTTTTGCCAATTCGAGCTCCCGTATCACCACTTTATGGGTATATTTCTTGCTTGAAGTACCTCTGTAACCTATAAAGGCTCGGGTTGCTTTTAACATCTTGTATAGTCCAATTTTAGCAGACTAAAAGTTTAATTATTTCAACCCTTTTGTTATTAAAATTTTTCTGTCATTTGAAACTATAGTCTAATTTGTTTATTGAAACTTGTAATTTTCCTCCTCTTTTTACAAAAATCCAAATGACAGAATTTTTTTTTTTTTTTTAACGGAATGACAGGAATTACAATGTAATCTAACAAATGCTTAAATGGAAACACCAAAGGAACAGAAACCCCCGGTTAAGAGGATTTTTGATGTAAAAAATTTTACATAGCAGCTGTTTTTAACAAAGAATCCAATAAAAAAACAGCCACAAAAGAGCACTCCAGTTAATGTTTATGTCTATCTAAAAAATTAGACCTTCAGAGGCAAATATGCTCAATAACTTACAGTTTTGGATGAACTTGCTCAGGAGGAATCAGATAAACTTGCAAAAGGTGCTCAAACAATAGATAATTATGCATGGTTTCACATACAATTTTCGCCACCTGCATTCATCGAAAGTAAGGTTAGAAACACCCAACTTGAAAGGCATTTAAACATTGATTTTCTGTATGAGTTAAGTACAACCTCTGGAGACTCAAATTCAATGAAGCCAAAATGCTTGGATTTTCCAGTCTGTTGAACATCAAACAAACAAATAAACAAACTTAAATACTCCAGAAACTGATAACATGAAATGCCATTATAGAAGCCTGCCAGAAAAGTTACTCACTAAACAATTAAAGTAATAAGCACAGAGCAGAGTAGAAAACATATGCACTTGGGTAATATTATGAAATATGAACCACTACACAGTCATTTATTATCTCTATGAACCTTCCCTACCCCCACTACATCAGCAGTACCACTTTTATTACGAGTATAGAGGAGGTATCTAGTATTTTTAAAGCCGTTGTAATCTAATTCTAAAGATAACTAAAAGGAATACTACTATATATATATATACACACTCTAGAAGCAATGTAGCTTAAACAACATAGAGCCTAGTCATGTTTATTTGTACACATATCTATCTAATATTACAGCTACAAGTTGAATCCTCAATTTATAAAAACACAAAAGTAGTTAAGATTGATCCAATTTTCATTTATTTTGATCCGATTGTACAAAATTCATCCCAAAATTTTTTTCTCACTCAAAAACACCATATTCTCTACATAGCCCCTAATGTCCAATAACTTAACCAACACCCTCCCCAATGGCAATCAACTCCGCTAATGCACACTTACCTCTTTCAGATTTTCTATATATTCACTTTAATTTTAAATTGTGTAATTAAAGAAAAGAAAAATAAATAAATTGTTATTTAAAATATAAATGTTGCATGATCAATTTTTTATTTTTGGTATTGCAATGTTTTTAGACGCGAGTTATTGCTAGTAAGTTTGATAAAGTAGAAGACTTGACAATAAAAGTTTTGCAATTCCTCCATGAAGAGCAAAGAGTGGGTCTCATTTTAAATGAAGTCTTCAAGATCTTTACAGGTAATAAATTATGTCCGAAGATTCGGTAGAGCATGGCACAAATTATAATTTTTTTGTATGATGAACAGCATGCAAAAAGAATGCAGACTACCACAACATGGAATATATATACATGTATAATGTGCATATGTATTGAACTAGTTAATCACACTAATGTGGGCTCTAATTAATTATAGGATAAATCAAAAGAAATATTGAATCATACTTACTGAGACATATATGAATGTTAGGATTCATGGATTCAAGGATCTAAATTTCGTTTCGATGAATAATTGCGATTACCTCAGAAAGAAAAATGATTCTCAATTGTTTCAAAAATAATAACATTTCTCCAACATAATCTAAAACACCTCGAGACATTGAAATTTTAATATTCAATCATTAATTTATTTTAGTTTCCATGGGAACCGAAATGTTTCAGTCCTTTTGGTGAAAACGAAACCTAATTTGCATCTGTGGGTGGATTTGAACCATTTGGATTTTTCCTGGGCATAATTCCCATGTCTTGGCCAAGTACTCTATTTGCATGGGGATTCAAATTCCACCAAAATCCATCCATGTATTCAACTACCCAAAGAACTTCAAATAAGGGCCTTGCACCCATTAGTTCAAATCCCTTTTGAACCCACAAAAGACGCCCACCCGAACATAACTCATGATCTCTAAAGTATAACACACGCACACTCCCATAGGCTCTCTCTCTCTCTCTCTCTCTCTCTCTCTCACACACACACACACACACTATTACAAATGTGTCTCTCTCACACATGCTCTCATTGAACCTTTCATCTTCTCATTCATACACAAATCTGTGATGTTATAGCTTATCAAGTATATATGGCTCAGGGTTTACAGTCAGCCGCCTCCCTATAGTTGTCAACTCGTTCTTGATAGATCCGATCGAGTGTTCATAATCTGGAGTAAAAGGATTCGAAACTTTACATGCCGATACCAAAAACCAATGCCTTACCACTTGGCGAAAATCTTTTAATCCAAAGGATGCATTGCATCTATCCTCTTCCCCTATTCAAAACTTCATCTTTAATGCTATGTCAAAAAAATTTCATACAAAGGAATCATGCATTGCGCGTATCTCAGAATATTTCAACATAACAACACATAAGATCATTGAGTGATTCACTAGCAACACATTCCGACCAAAAGGATATACTAGAACAATAAAGCAAATGTTTACTCATAATTTTCTCTTCCACCAGCTAAAGAGATGAATGGTGAAAAGCTATAATTAGCAGTGGTAGTCAATTTCAACAATTATAAAATCAGCAGATAAATAATTGATTCCACCATCCCACATTCAATTTTGCATTTGCACCCAAAATCCAATTCGAAACCCTCAAAACCAGAAGACTCCCAACATCTAAAATGCTGTTCCAAGCATAGCTTCACATACAAGAAGTTCAAAATCTAAATAAATTCAAAGAATAAAAACAAACAAACCAACAAACATCCAAATAAAGCCTACCTTCTTATTCCTTGCTATTCTGAGTCTTTTCACTGCACCGAATTGTTTAAAAAAACCTGCAAAACACCCAATACCATGTCACACATTCTGATTTGTCTTAACTTTGCTTTTCCGCAGCCACCTTGCGCAATTTATAACAGAAGGTTAGATCCACACCTAGTCCACCCCTCGTAGCACTCATGATTAACAGAAGCCAAATTGGTATGAACCTTAATGCCACATATATTCTTCTTGGCACACCAGTAATTCACACAGCAAGAGAGAGAAAAGCTAATTGAAGAACAAGCCAAATGGACTTACCTTCCATTTCATTCTCATAGAACCCATGTGGAATCCGACCGATATACAAGATTGTAGCTTTATTATCCCGCACTTGACTCTCCACAAGCTTACGACCCGGACCACCCTCTAATGGCTTACCAAAACATAGAAGAAGAGATTATTCGATTAATATTTAACAAAATTTGGAGATCCTAAATAAGACCAATCAGGCGTACCAAGAAATCTGGAGCCTGGTCTTTGCGATTCGTAGCCGCCGACAACTTGGCAGAACCCTTCTTCACTTTCTTCGCCATTGCTTTCTTCTTTGCCTTTGCTCCCATCGCTCACAACCCTAGCAAATCTGTGTGGGTTCTGTGTGTGTCCGAGAAAGAGAGAGAGAAAGAGAGTGTTTACAGACCCTGCCCCTGAGCAGTATAAACCCTAATAATTCCCTGTGTGTTGTGAACCCGGAGGCACGAGAGGTTTTATATTGTTGTTATCTCATTGTTTTTTATTGAACTAGACGAGAGGGTTGATCAGGCCAATTTCTGTCCAAATTTCTTTTACCAAAGGGTTACATTATACTTTGATCCCCTACATTATGGACTCTTTCACTTTATTCCTGAAACTATTAAATTTTTTATATGACCCCTTAATTACTGTGATTATTTCCCATTGCCCCAATTGCAAATGTTCATTATCTTTTTGAACCAAAATTGTTGGCCTGTTGGGCAAATTGAAAAAAAAAAATCACTTATTTTAGGAGGGAAAATAAAATATTTTTTTATTACACATAACGAACATTGATACTTGACACAATATGAAGTTAATCACATAGTTGAGAATACAACATAAAAAATATGATGGCGAGGGACAAAGTGAAAGAAGGATAATAATTGATAATCAAAATACAATTTTACGTAATTTAAATTCTCAAGTGATGTAATATATTGTCAAAACAAATACAAAGGTCTAACGGTTTATTATTGAGAAAGTCGAATGGAGTTATATAGTGGCCATAGCATGTTTCATTAATTTTCTTCCATTTTATCTTCTCATAAGTTAAAGGATATCCAATGATCAATTCACCATTGAAAGCACTAACCCCAAAATAACGAATATTGTAGTGTTCTGACAGTGGTAGATCAAACAAGAATTCAATGAACAAAATTCGCTTACAAAAAAAAAAGAGAACTTTTTTCAATTTTGAATTCTAGTGTCTCCTGATAACATTCTATCACCTTAATCTATTCTCTTTATTGAGGTTTTGACACTTTATTTCAACTCTCTATTTATATAGTGAAGAAAGACACTTGTTCGAATGCATGACTACTACCGCTAGCATACCTATCGCCTCTGGGCACAACACTCTAAAATACATGTTAGGTTGAACAAGAATACTGCGACTAGGGATATGAAGAATGGAATTAAAGGCATACTAACCCCACCATAGGCCAGAAAGGCCAGCCCTAGCTCCAACATCGAGGCAAGGTCTAGAAATCTCTTTCTAAAAAAATATGTAGTTTTCAGATTTTTACAAGTATTCTAAGAACTTGATTCAAAACGCTTGTTATTTGCTCTTCCAAGAGCAAGAAAGAAGTAATTTCTCTTGTTGAAGAAAACTATTTTTTTATCCTTTTTCAACCTCCACTCATATTCGGTGCAGGAGTCTTGTCAACCAAAATAACCCACATTCACGTAGTCTCATGAGTGGTTCAAAAAGATCAAAATGGAGGTCCTTTTCCTATCAAAATATAACTTTACCTGATTTAAATGCTCAAGTGATGTAATACACTACCAATATCTAAGGATTTAATCTTCTTTCTTTAAAAACCAAAAGTTCAACCAATACACTTTTAAGCTATTAGGATATTTTTACAACATTAACGACATGTTGTGGTTTTTTTGTCTTATAGTCCAATCTAATTAAATTCTTTTTTTTAATGACTAACTTACTTTTTAGTAATTTATGCTAGTTTTTTTATGCAAAAATTTGATCATAGCTCCATCAAATTTTATTTTTTTTGTCCTCTAATCCAAGTATTGTATTTTTATGACACTAAGTCCATAATAACATCCTCTTTTTTGGTCTTCCAATCGAATCTAATCTGAATTATTTATTTTATTTACTAGAGTACCCTTGACTATATCGCGTTAATTTCCTCACTTTTTACAAATCTTCTGATCTCTTCTCCCCACTTCTCTCTCTCTCTCTCTCTCCACCAGAAAGTTTCAGCTGTTGTTGGAAATTTTGTCGTTGAAGATGTTCACTTCGATGGTTATACGAAGAAGATCTACGACGTCGTCCACATGGCAAATGACTTTTTTATTTTAAAATGGGCTTCTATCCTTCAACTGGGTTTTTGCCTCTGGTTCTCGGTGATGACAATTTCTAGACGAACTACCTCTACAATGGGTAATGACAATTTCTAGACGATCTACCTCTACAAATATAAAACAGCCACTGAAATTTACTTTTGTTGCCGATAACTTGTCCAATTCTTGTTCTTTCCCTCCTCACTCTCTGAAGACATCCTTCTTAACCTTACATTATAGAGATAAATTACACACATTCTCTCTTTCTTTACTATGCTCCAGTGTAGAAGGAAATTAAGGATAAGGCTGGTGGGCTCAAAATTTAAACTAATTTGTTAATCTAATAATGTGATTTTATTACAATAATTAGATTAATACCATGTTCAAATGTTTGCTCGGATTCACAATCAATCAATAATTATAATGAATAGGTAAACAAATTAAGTACCAATAAATTCATCACTTTTTCTTGATTACCAAAATTTCAAATTTTATTTTCTTGGTATTTGTTTATTGTCAGATAATGATGTTGAGAGGGTGTATTTTACTATATAATAATGTGGATTTGAGAGTTTATGACGTATGAGTGATGAATGATACAAGATAGGGAGAATTTTTTTTTTTTACAAAGACTATTTCACTCTCCATTTTGAGAAGACATGAATTTTCACTGTTCATTTTAAGTAATTCATTATTAATAAAATAACGAATTTCATTAGATGAGACAATGAAACTTGTTCAAAATGTGTCATTAGTTATCCATGTGAAGAGGGGGCCGAATATTTGTCAATGTCTATGTTTAGCTTTTCATTGTCCATGTGTTCATTATTTTCACTATATCTTGTTCATTATTTTTTAATTTTATTGAGTTTATTTTTTTTTATATATAGTTATCCATTCAAAGGAAGCATCTTAATTAAGTTATTAAAATATAATATATATTATTGTTGAGTTCCACTGTTTTTCACTATTTTTTAGTTCATTATTTTTTAATTCACTAAATCTCATTGCTTTTTGGTTTACTAATTTATTATTCTTTTTGAGTTCCATTGTTTTTTACTAATTTTGAATTCACTAAATTTTATTATTTTTGAGTTCTAATATTTTTTACTGTTTTTTAGTTCATTAACTTTTTATTGTTGTTGAGTTCACTGTTTTTCACTATTTTTGAGTTCCACTATTTTGAGTTCACTAACTTTTCATTGATTTTGAGTTCGTTGTTTTTCACTATTTTCGAATTTATTAAATTTTATTGTTTTTAAGTTCATTTTTTGCACTATTTTTTTTTGTTTTTTAATTTACTATTTTTTATTATTTCTGAATTCACTAAATGTCATTGCTTTTGAGTTCACTAATTTTTCATTGTTTTTGAGTTCACTATTTTTTGAATTCACTAATTTTATTATTTCTCACTTTTTTTAATTGTTTTTTAGTTCATTATTTTTGAATTCATTAAATTTTATTGTTTTTTAAGTTTATCATTTTCGTTATTTTTGAGTTGACTAATTTTCATTGTTTTTAAGTTCATTGTTTTTAGTAGTTTTGAGTTCGATATTTTTAGTATGTACAATTTTTATGTCATTAATTATGACTATTATGTTTGTTTTTTTTCAATATTTTTAAGTTCACCAATTTTTCATTGTTTTATGTGGTGGGTTATGAGTGGTGGTGGTTGATGGTGATGGTGGGTGGTTGTGGCGGCGGTGGTGGTTATTCATTATGTTTAGTTCATTGTTTTTGAAATTACTATATTTGAGTTCACTAGAAATTAGAAGTTTTAATCTATTAAAGTTTATTGTTCGTTAAAATTTTGTGAGTTATGAATTTTATTTTATTAAAGTTCACTACTTTGGAGTTCATGATTTATTTTTTTTCAATATTTTTGAGTTTGTTTTTTTATCTAAGTTTTTTAATTCAAATTTTTAATATTTTTATAATTTATTATTTGTAAAAATTTTGAACAACAAATTAGAAGTTTCATTATATTAAATTTTCACTATTTGTAAAAATTTTGTGAATTAAGAGTTTTATTATTTTAAAATTCACTTCAATATATTAATAGTTTATTTTTTGTGAAAATTTTGTGAACTAAGGTTGCATTTAGTAATTCAATTTTTATCACAAAAAAAATAAAAATGCACCCATTATATTGGAGTTCACCATTTATGTTATTTTTTTTCACTATTTTTGTATTCATTAGTTTTTTACTGTTTTATGCGGTGGATGGTGGCGACAATGGGAGGTGGTGGTTGGCAACAGTGACGGGTGGTGGTGATTGTGGGTTTTGGGTGGTAGTGGTAGCGATGGGCAATGGTTATGGGTGGCACTGGTGGTGGAGGTCACTTCTAAAACACTAAACCCACTCTCTTTTTCTCTCCCTAGGGTACCAAACCCACTACCCATACTCTTGATCTACAAATCGTCATCCCAAATCCCTTACTCACATCATTCAGCATTTTCATCAAATTGAAACCCTAGCTTTGAACATGACTTCGAGGAAATCTTTCGGTTCTCCTTCCAATAGGCTATTTTGTGGCTTTGGGCTTTTATTGTATTTGTGATTGTGTTGGGTCTATGTGTGTCTAGCATGGCCATGACCTAAGGGCCACAAGGAAGGAAAAAGGGAAGGGAAAGGCCACCACTTCGAGGGGATAGTGGTGATGAGCCTAAGAAGCCCCAGGGTCCCGAGTTTAGGAAATGGCAGAGGGCCATTTACGAGTCGACAATTGCAGAGAGGGTAGTGATTTGTGAGCGTATGATTGACCATAAGAGTTTGGGTAAAATTTTGGTGGTCTGATGGTTAGCACAGTTGGGGTTACAGTTCTTTTTCGAGAAAGTGGAGGGATATATTCCTAGTTATTGTCGAGGGTTTTACATAGGATTGCACTTAGTTGACCTAGAGGCAAGGATTTTGAGGACCACTATGCGAGGCCATATTATTTAGGTTACACCTGATAGTATAGTTGAGTACTTGGGCTATGTTTGGCCTCCTACTGATCAGTTAGGTCATCCACATTTTGAGTTCACTACTAAGAGTCTTGATGAGTATGTGCATATTCTGTATGAGGATCCCAGTACTTTTGATGGGCAGTTTAGTCTGGGGAGCCTACTAGCAGACTATTTGACCATGAACAAGATTTTGTATTAAAATGTACGTCCGAAGGGATCCGAGAAGCGACTCACCTTACCCAAGATTGTTTTATTACATAAGGTGATGGTTGGCTCTAGAATTGACTCAACTTTGTACATATGGACTGTGATTAGGTATTACATTTCAGAGAGAAAGCCTAAGGAAAGTATGTCTTTTGGCAACATGATTACATAGTTGTGTATCAAGGCACATGTGAGGGAGGACACATGTTGACTTGGTGACTCCTCTAGAGAAAGGGCCCATCAGCAATGTGAGTGAGCAAAAGAGCTTTACTATGTCTAGGGCTACTAGAGCAAACAATCCTTGTCCCAAGACTACATCTTTGGAGCCTGTAGCTGCTCCTATTCCACCTACCTCCAGAGCCACTGTTAATTAGAGAATGACTAGGCTAGAGGAGAGGGTGAGCGGTATGGAGTCCAATCTTTCAGATATCCAGGAGATTCAGGCCCACATAGTCAAAGATTCATTGATAATTTAGAGGAGGTTTTTTGAGGCCCTTCTGCCTAATATTGCTCTACCAGTTGTTTCTCCACCAGTATCTACATCTAGACCTACCAATTCAAGGGCTGTTGAGCTAGCCACTTCAACACCACCTCCAGCATTTGTGTCTGATCCGAGAGGGATGGTTCAGGAGATAGATAATAGTGAGGAGGAGGAGGAGGAGGAGTTTGAGTTTGAGTAGTTGTTTTGTCTACTAGTTTTAGGATGCTAATCTTGTTTTTGTGTTTTAGGAAATTGTCTAATTGGGTTGTAATGACTTAGGATAGGAAAACCTTTAGTCGTATCCCAAAGTTGTTACACTTTGATCTTTTGTACCCACTGACATTGGATATATATATCATACATTTTTTGATTTCATTGTGCATTTTAGAATAGATGTTATGAATTGATGTGTGTGAGCGTGTGGGCTACATGTATAGTTTGAGTGTGTGTTGGATGAATGAATGCATGTTCTTCTATTTTTGGTTTTCTAGGGACTAGCAATGTTTAAGTTGGAGTATGTTGATGGCATAGCATTGCATATTATGTAGTTTAATTCATCCTGTGTTGCATAGGTATTTAATGTTTAATCCTTTGAATTGTGTTGAATTTGAAGTAATTAGTGTATTTTTGATTGTAGGTAAAAAAATTGATATGAAGGGAAACATGTTGAAGCAAGCTTAAGGTCATGAGAAAGCACGAAGAGGAAGAGGAGTTGAAGCAGAGGAGCAAGACTGAAGAAATCATAAAAGACCCAGACTTCAACCGGTCCATCAAGCTAACAAAGAGAGCTTCAGCTTTTATTGTTATTCGAAAAATGAGATAATATTTTCTGTTCAAATTTGTATTTTTTATTTCTCTTTTCTTTTTCATTCGCAATTTCTCTACATAAATCTATACTATATATCAATATAATAGCCCTCTTTGAGCTCCAAATCTCCATCGCTCATTTCTTCAATTTTTTTATTTTTTAGAATTTTGAAAACCTTATGTTGCTCCTTTCTATTGGTGTATCTTAGATCACATGATATACCAAAATATCTCAATAAATTTACGTCCAGAGCACAATTTAGAGTGAATTCCACACATTCACGAATTCAAAAAATTAAATTATCAAATTTTATATTTATAATTTTATGTATTAGCCACTTTCAGAGACAACTCCACAAATTCAAAAAAAAATAAAAACAAAATAATTAATGGGTAAAGCCTTGGGCCAAGCAAGGCCTTCAAAAAATTTGATGGATTTAGTCTCAAAGTTGAGTCCAAATCTCCCGCGCATGGAAGACAACACGGTGAAGTCTACCTATAGGCATTGCGATCAACATGGCTGCCAGAGTTCACTGTGTCGATATGAGATTCACATCTTGAGTGAACACGACACTTCAATGCCTAACTTTTTCTTTAAATATTCTATAGTTTTTTATGAAAATATTAATAAAATTTAAGTAATATATCATATATTTGTATATAAAATTTAACTTTTAAAAATATATTTTCAATATCTTTTATTTATGTAAACATGTATATATGTATATAGTACGACACTCTCAAAGAGCTCCCGATCCCAAAAATTAAGAATTTTACGCTTTTGCACTCCTGCCCTATGTGATCTAGGGTGGATCTACTATTTACTCTTAATAATAATATTCTAAATTCTTAATTTTGTATTGGTTTTACTTTTGTAAACTCTTATGTGCGTGCAAGATCCTGCACAATATAAAAAACGAGAATAGATCTCTCCCTTGGTGAACTTGAGTGATCCGGTTGAGTGACCAAACGCGCTGCTTGGGACAGCCTGTAAGGTACGGTGGTAACTTGGAATGGCAATGGGAGATCCTGGGAACGGAAGAACGATCCAGTAAGGCTGAAAAAGGTTCCTGGAACAAAAAAGAACTAGTTAGAAGGGCGCCGAAGTGTTTTCCGGCGTATCCCCTCCGACGATCTAGTCAGTCTTTTTCAGAGAGAGAGGAAGGAGAAAACACTGAGAATGTATTGTGTATTGTAGTAAAGAGTTTGTTGTTGCATACCCGCCTTGCCTTTTGCAAGGAGTATTTATACCTTAAAAGCTCATGATTGCTGTCAGTGTGGTCAGTAAGTGATCATTAGGCACAGGTAGCGTGCGCATTGATTCTGATGAGGAATGTCTTCTCGAATTAACTGCTCGGGGTCCCGAGCAATCAATGCTGGGTCATCGGGATGTCGACGGTACAATGTGCTCATCTCGGGAAGGATGCAATAAATGCTATGTATTAGGAGTATTTATTGTCTTTCATTTCCGAACCTTACCGCATTGAATGCGGTCTCATCAAGGGAATGGGGCAATTAATTGTTTGCTTTCCCAAGTCGCGTGTCAGCAACGACATGCGGTTTGCCTGCCTTCGATGTGATATCATATGCCACGCGTCCATCCCCTACTGGCTGTGACCTCTGTATTCCAGTACGTTCTGACATTACTTGTGTAAGACGAGGTCATGATGAATAGCCTAGACTGATGACCTGTACGTCAATAGCATATCCTGGAGTAGAGGAGGCGTCCTGGACAGTACACCTCGACACCGAGGTAAGGATCATCTCGGCACCGAGGTAGGGACACCGACCGAGGTACAATATCAGACCGAGACCACGTGTCGGTGTAAAATATACTGAATGCATGATCCTATATGCTGAGTGCCTCGGGGGAGAGGACCTTGCGCGTCGATGATGCTTGATCATAGCAACAGTGTTTTAGTAATATCGAGGACACGTGTTTTCATCATAGAGTATTTCAGAAAAGTCTCATCATCTTACTTGGCGTATAATCTTATTGGCCCATTTTTTCAATCCTAATTTATGTATAAATAGGATTACTCTTCAAGTTTGGTAACTATCCCTAATCACTGTATTAAGTCTATCCCTCCTGATTTATCCATATATAGATAGATAGGATTACTGCTTTAGTTAACTGTCCCTAATCACACACTACCTCCATCCCTTCTAAGATGTGTTTCTTAATTGACTAATAAATTTATGGTTGGGTTCAAATTATTAATAAGTCACAGAACTAATATTCTAGCTATGGAGGTTACTCCTACTAAGCACAGTCACCGTAAATTTTACATCAATTGCCCATGCAGAGCTTGGGTTACTGCTAGTTAGATATATATCCTAATGTATAGATAAAGAATTAAAATAGAGAAATATTTATTTCACTATTTAGGATAACAAAAGTAAACATAATTTACTATGAAAAGTAAATTTCCAACTTATTTCCTTGTCAAAATAATATTTCAATGTCATTTTACATTAAATTGGATATTTCACTGTCAATTTGAAAAGTGAGATAATATTTTACTATTTAAATTTTTATTTTTTTTCTTTCTCTTTTTTTTTTTCGTTCTCAATTTCTCTACATAAATTAGACATATTTCAATATATAGGCAAAGAAATAGAATAATGAAGTTGTAAAACCCAAATACGTATAACGATCACATAAATAATTATTATGATTATGAGTACGAGTGCATGATGACCACATAAATATTTATTACGAGCATGATCATGAGATATGAATATGTTCGATAGATACCTACTAATTAAAAATTGAACATTGATTGAGTGTGAGATAATTAAATGGGTATATTGCAGGTGACATAATTAATTTACTTGATATATGTTAGTGCACATGGGATTAAGTTGGGGTGGTGAGCATGTGATATTGATTTAAGTATTAAAAATATATATAAATTAGTGTGCACAAGAGATGGGTCAAAGCTTAGCAATATATGTGTGTGTACACAAGGAAATATATGAATATATAAATAAATTGTGCAATATATATATATATATATATATATATATATATATATATATATATATATATATATATATTGCATTCAAGCACATGAGAGTCTTTGATTCAAGGAAAATGGGTGGCTAGGAAGAGGAGGGGGAAAAGTGATGGTTTGGGGGAGAGAAGAAGTGGGAGTATCATCATTGTGCATGTGTAGGGAAATATAAAACGAATAAAAAAAAAAAAACTCTTCAAGACTTAGCCATTTTCGGCTATTTTCAGCTAAGGCAGCAAAGACCAAGAAATGAAGAAAAGAAAATGAAGAAGAAAGGAAAGAGAGGAAAATAGTTTGGATGGTGGGCTTGTGGTGGTGCAAGAGGTAATGAATTATGTAGGTTCGAGATATTTTGAAGAAATGGTATGAAAATTTGTCATGTTGGGAATTACTTGAGATTTGAGAATTTTGTTTATGTATATAGTAGGGTATGTAGTTGTTAAAATAATGCTTGATTATGTGTGTGTAATACCATGGTTTTTTTTTGGGGTAAGGAAATTGATATAAGGTGTAGGTGGGTATGTAGCACAAAGAGTTGTTAAAAAGAAATTCAAGAAAGTAAGAATATTGTATAGAAGTAGAATTTAAATTAAGGGAGGTAATGGTTTAGTGGGTAATCGAGCAATGATATATAAATATTTCTTGAAAGCTATGAATTCATGTGTGTATGAAATTATAAGAAAATATGTATAATTTATAATGTTATAGGGAATTATGTAGATTTAAGTATATTTTGTGGAAAATTGTAATATTGTGGGCAATATATAGTTGGGTGTTTTGAGTTCGTATAAATAGTACGATAATGAATTTGAAGAGGTTAGCTTAATTTAATTTAAAAGAATTTTACCTGATGTATCGAACAAAATTACCGACTCGAAAAATTGATTTGAGTAGATAATATTATTTGATGCTAATGAATTATGTGAATCGATGTGATGCAAATATTAAACTTGATTTGAGTAAATTATCTTAAACTTAATTGATGTTATATGTTTGAATGAAATTGTGGACATCAGGTATCTCAGGTTCAGAGACGAATACCGCAAAAAAACGCCGCACAAAAAGCTCCAGTGGAAGAGTCGTCCACACAGTAGAGCTTTGCAAGAGGTAGATGAACTATCCTACAATTTTTTATATTTCAGTAATTAAGTTGTTAGATTAATACTGTTCCAAATTTGGTTTGTGATTTTTAATGCAAAAAGATGATAATTTAGTTAGGTTGTGAAAAAATGTAGTGAGCCTTCGTGGTTGAGTTAGTTGGAATCTGTCTCTATGACAGAAAGAATAGAATTAAGAATGTGACGGAAAGAATGGAATTAAAAATGTAGATTAGAACACGGGCTGTTTTGGGACTAACATTAGTTGCTAGGTCATA